AATAACACAGGTCAGGTTTGTTAAACCTATAACCCACCCTTTATGCACACTTGAAAGGTGCATTTTCTTATTTGTTGTTATTTTTCTAAACCATAAACGTTAGTTTCTGGGGGGAAATATCTAGAATTTTCCACTGGAGAAAAGTAGATGTTTTTGTAGTCAGTCAGCTTATGGGGAATACCAATCTAGTCTTCACTTCAAGCACTAAGGCAAAACAAGCATGGACTCTCTCAGCAACACTCTCCTTAACATTTACAGCTCGACACATTCACACCCACAGTCGTCTACCATCGGGCATCTGAGTGGCAGCTCTCTTTTTCACTTTCTACTATTTTTCCACAAATTATTCAGGGATTATGAAAACCAAACCTGGGTCGAAACAGTTCCGCTTATTTCCGTCTAAGTTACCAGTAGCTCTCTTTCCCATAGATTTTCATGTCTTCACCACCTCATCACCTTTTCTTCCAGAACAATCACAAAGTCCCATCACTAGAGCTGCAGCCAAACTAACATCCAGCTCTGTCAAGTCACAAAATGATGTCTTTACCAAGCGGCTGTGGTTAATGGAGAAAAAGGAGGATTAAAAAAGTGTTTACCTCAAAACTAGAGAATTTATAGAAAAGAATGTATTTAAATATATGAGAAACAAATGCACTAATATATATGTGAGTGTGTGTACCTGTCTTGGTCTCAGAGTGAGGACAATTTTTCCAATTTCACCATCAAATTGAGGATCAGTTGTTTCAAGGCGAGGACATTTTGCCGGTCCTCACATTCTATTTTGCTAATGGTTAGGTTTAGGGCTAAGGTGTCAATTGGTTAAGCCCGGTGTACACTGTCCGATTTTCAAGGCGATCGGGCCAACTTTCAGCTTGATTGTGCGTTGTGAGCTTGTAGTGTACAGGGGGTTATGAGCAGCGAGCAGCCTCTAACGACCACCTCCCGATCAGGAATTGTGAGGTCTGGTTAAATCAAACCTGTTTGATTTTCTTGATCAGCCATGTCTTTTTCAAATACGTTGTCCCTTTTCTTTTTAGGACTTTCAGCACAAAATTGCACAAATCTTGGGAAAATTGAATTCAGGTACAAATTTGATGCGACACAAGCTTAAATTCCTATTTGGTATTCTTAAAAAAAAGAAAAGAATATAGATTTATTTCACTAAAGCAGAGTCCTAACCTTTATTTTTTTGTGACAGAAAAAACTACAATACAAAAATACATCAAACATAATTCAATTTCCCCATTTTATTGGCAAACAATAGGATTAAAATAGCTGGAGCCGTGAAAACCGAAGCTGAATGAGGACTAAGGTTTATAGTTAGGGAGCTAAAAACAAAGCGTGGCATCTTGGGGTCACCAAGTTTCTTTTACAGCCATTGTCCCCATCTCCACTGGGTGTACCAATAATTATGCAGTGCGCAGTAGCTCCCAAAGTGCATGGATCGCTTCTTTCCGCCTAATTACAAATGTGAGCAGGTCGAGACCAGAGGTCAGGGATATCGATGACCATAATCCAGCTTCTTCGTCCCATCTGCTTCCGTTGCTGCGAGCCACTGCGTGTTTGAAGTCGACAGGAAGGCGTGCCCCCGCGGTAACCAGATAGCAGGGTGTGCACAACTGTAGAAATCAACCAAGCTCAAAGGGTTGAGAGTCATTACTTTGATTGAGGGAAGCAATTTGTCCTGTCTGGTCAGTAGGAGACTTGAAGGAGGTTTTGACGTGGAGATTCTCCTATTTTGGGTTTTAAGAAATCTTTTCTAGTTGGTCTGTGTGTTTTATTCTCTTAACTACAAGCCAAATACCAATCACTCCTTCTCCTGTTTCTGCTCCTTTTCTTTGACCAATCAGCTGAGGGATGCTCAACTCAAAGCTGCAGATTTAGGCTACGTTCACACTGCTGGCCTTGATGCTCGATTCCAATTTGATTTTTGTGAAATCCAATTTGTTTGCATTGCCGTTCACATTTCCAAATATGAAATGTGAACGGCATTGTATGTTATCTCTTGTGTGAATTGCAGTCATACAGCTCATGTGTCCCGCATGAGCAGTAGAGGATGCAATGACGTCACAAGCCAGCGCGCTTCGTGTTTACGGAAGTAAACATGGACGTAGTGCTGGAGCGCATCTGGCGATCTTTCCAAACCTTAAAACCTCAATCTTTTCAAGATGGTTTAAAAAATACTGCTCTCCGCATCATCGTCCGCTATGGTGTTTGTTTTCTTGCCGCTTATGTGTAACAAGATGTAGAATAGGGACCCATGTCGGTTACTAAAGGCGTTCAGGTCGGATGAATGCGACCTGGCTGTTCAGACACAGGTCGCATTTGAAAAGATCAGATTCGTATCGGATTCAGGAACACATAACCAAGTGGCCCAATCTATAATCTGGAGGGAAAGAGGAACTGGATTTGTTAACCAAAGGATGTTCCATGAAAAGAATTTGGGAATAAAATAACCAGATATTAGGAGAGCACCTATGGCAGATTTCCGGATCACCAATTTACGACCTTCATATTTTGGTCAATATTGATGTTTTTCTTAAAAATAACTGACACTATCTGTTGTTATATATGGAAGCCGAGAGAAATCGTGTCCCTCCGATACTTTTTTTAGGTGGTTTTCTCAAGAAAACAAATTAATTTTGTCATTATCTTAAGATAACGAAAGTTGTTTTGTCGTCATAACGAGATGATTGGTGTGTGTTAAAACTGATTACATCCTTCAATACCACAACAGTGGGAGTGGATTTATAAGTCATGGCAGCCTATGTGTAATTCTGTAAATAAACCTGTGTTTAAATTTTAGGTAACGAGACGACGTTGTTGGTTTGATGATTTGCTTCCACTTCTGATTGATAAGTTTAGACCTATGCCTCCGATGCCTAAGCGTCGGAAATGTTTTCTGAACAGCCCCAGTGTTACGCCTGTAACAGGTATAAGATGTATTAACCCCCGAAATGAGTCCAGATTAAAGATTTTCATTAGGAAAACAGTCAGACTTGTTTCTATTGTTTTCCATGCATCCAATCATCCACCACGACCTGACAATGAGTGAAAAGAAAAAGTAAACTAAAAAACGGATTATTTGCGAGCACAAGAACGGGCACCACAGGCATGGATGGACTGGGAATTCAGGGCTGTTTGCCAGCCTCGTTCATTACTCATACAGGTTAAGCATCTCGTTATCTCAAGAAATCAATAACCGTTTTCTCATGATTATGACATAATTATCTATCCTGCTGCCCTCTGGTAAGAGACTTTGCAGCATCTGATGCAGGTCCAGCAGATTCCAGAACAGTTTCTTCCCCACCGCTATTAGACTGCTGAATGTTATGTAAAATGGGTTATCAAAAAAAAAACAAAAAAAACACTGAATGTTAGAACTGTACCTATACTGCCATATGTTTAAATTACTGTTTTTTATTACAATGTTGCAACTAATGCACTTCAAAAAATGAATTAGGCTAGAGAGCTGTTATTAAAAAACATATTTTTGTTTACACTCGTGTATAACAAATGACAAAATGAAATCTGTCTAAGTCTCTCCGAGTCTAGTTATCTCAAGAAAACAATTAATTGTTTAACCATGATAACGAGATAGTTATGTGGTTATATAGGGGGGAAAAATTTGAGTATGACCGCTCTCGGCTTCCATGGTTATAAGATAAGAAACCTTCACTATTTCAGTTTTATCTTACTGAAAGACAATCAGAATCAGTGAAACAATAAGAGCTTCTCAAATGTCTACTCTCAAATATAAATGAGCATTTAGTAGGTGTCAGTGAGTGATTTTCAGATGAGGTAGATGAGGAAGTATTCAAGGCCGATTAATCAGCTGACCGGTCCACCCGTGCAACCCTACCAGATACACTACAAAAGATGGAAATCTAAA